CTGAGGTCAAAAAGAACAGTATCACTCTGATGTTCTGATGTGTGAACCACTTGGACAACAAACCAAAAAGAGTGGCAATTAAAACACATTTTTATTTTTTATACATTTTTGCTATAGGGCTTGTGTACTCGCCAGAGAGATGGAGAGAGACAGAGACTGAAAGTGAGAATCACCCCAGAGAGATTGGTCAAGCTGCTTATCCCTTCTCCATTCTCCTCTCAGGATTTTTGGCACACATGCACATGTGCCCAACATGAATTTGAAGCCACCGGGTCTGAGACTTGAATCTTGGTCAACCACGAAGAAGTCTAGCACTTTAATCACTATGTCGCTTGCTAGCTCTGTTTTTTTCCTTTTTTCTTTTTTTTATGTTAGTGATGATTTTTACTGTAAATTTTGTGGCCAAATATCATGTGTGCATCTTTATTTTACCTATCAGTAGAGTAGAGCACTGGGGTTATCAGTGGAGGAAAGGAGTCCATGAGAGACATTCACGTATAAACTTTACAGATTAAGAGATCTTAACCATGTAGAAATAATGAACATTTCCCTTCCCCTTTTTAAATTTTAACTTAAATTTAAGGATCTAAGTTCTGATGTGATTATAGTAGCTAATGTATTTGCAGAATTTAAAGTCTAACAGGAGGGCAAGGGAATAAGTGTCCTTTGCAGATAAAGGCGTTTGAAGCCTAGTCATATTGAAATGTGTCGTTTTTTAAAAATATTTATCTACAAAATATAAGGGGACTTCAGAAATTTTGTGGTAAAATAGAATTGATGTATGAGTTTATTTTGGTGCAATTTTTTTTAAATCTCTGCATGTTTTTTTCATATTATGCATTTTCATGAAGCCCTCTTGTAAATGAAGGAATATTTGCTGGTCCTAAGTTAAATGATATCTAAATTAAGTTTGCAGCTGTTCTCTTGGAAGACTAATAGTTGCATAGAGAAGAAGCAAGATGAAGTTCTCTTAAAGTAGTGAGATTGAATTTCTTACGAAGCATAGAGAGTGGTGTTATGCCTCATGAATCACAGAGACAAAGTTCAAGGGTTTGATGCCACTGAGCAGGAACAGAGTCCAAGTTAGATTGCAGGGGTGTGGCTGGCCAAGGCTTTCTCCCTCCTTCTGACTAGTGATGTTGTCTGCATAGACTACAGACCAGTGATTGATAATGAAGGCTGAGGTCTTTCTATAGGTGCATCTCAGGCTCTGGGACAATGCTGCCATGGATAAGTGCTTTTGCAATATAAAAGTTTCATATTTTTGTTTTTTCCACTAGTTTTTTGTTTGTTTGTTTTTTAATTGCCAGAGGGTACTTGGGGCCACAGAGAGACACTGGCAGAGAGATAGAGAAAAGAAAGTCCCTTCCAATGGGGCGTGCTCATGCCATAATCCCCTCTCCATATTTCCATCCTGTGAGGATTTTAGATATGCACACATATGCCACTGGTGTGTTTTTCAAGCTACTAGAGATGGGATTCAAACCATGGTCACTGTGTGGGATCCAGCTCCCTTACCCACTAGGCTATAGTACCAATCTTTTCACTAGTTTTATTTATTGTTTTCTATTTTGCTAAAGGGTACATGTACTTCCAGAGAGAGACAGGGAGAGGAGAAAGCTCCCTTCCCACCACCCCCGAAGTACGTGGTCATGCCACCATTCCTTCCTCTATGTTCCCATCCCGTTAGGATTTTGGGCATGCACGCATGCATGCACGGTGTGGTTTTCAAGTTTTTCTGGGTCTGGGACTTGAGCAGTGGCATATGGGATCCAGCTCTGTTAACCCTAGGCTGTGTATGTGTGTGCGCATCTCTGTGTGTGTGTTATGCATGTATGTATATCTCATGCATATTAGATGGATAAAGTTATATTCTGACTTGAGCTGTAAGTGTGCATGTGTTGTATATGTGTATATAAATATATACACATACATAGTCTTACTCAGTTCTTAGCCCAGCACAGAGTAATTGATTAATTTATGTTTAACTTTTTAATAGATTGAGTTCTTGGTTTAATTGTTCTTATAGCTTAGTTATACCCTGGTTTTGGGTTTCCATGAGACTTTTTTTTTTATTATCCTTATAATAAATTTCTCTTTGGTTCTAAGCTTGCTGTTTCCTGTTTCTGTTGTCTGTAACCAGAAGTTCCGAGTAACATAGCTCCATGTTATCCACATGCCTGCTCCAGTCTAACTCACTGTGGCTTATTTCAGAGGGAGTGTCTTTCCATTCATGTTGGTCAAGCTGGCATCCAGATTGGGGATGCTTGTTGGGAACTCTATTGCCTGGAACATGGAATCCAGCCAGATGGTGTCATTCTTGACAGTAAACAGGAACAACTGGAAGATGCTAAAATGGAGCCTACAAATGCATCTTTCAATACCTTTTTTTGTGAGACAAGAACTGGGAAGCATGTACCTAGAGCACTCTTCATGGACTTAGAACCAACTGTCATAGGTAAAACCAATATTACATTTTAGTGAATTTAAACAAATCCACAATCAAAACAAATCAAGTGGGTGGGGTTATCAGATTGTCTTTAATCTATCTGACCAGGATCATATCTATATTTTCCAAATTTAAAGGCTCACTCAATGGCCATTAGGGTGATTACCATGACAAAAATACCTAAAGGGAAGGTGAGGCTAGCCTTCTTTCACTGTATAAGACATATGAAAACCTTGTTAATTTATTCACACCTATATCCTAACAGAACATTTGATCTTTTTCTGGATTTGAGAGCCATTTTCTAGAAACTACTGGCAAAGAATCTGAAAATTTGGTATTATCTTCTTATACTGAGTAGAATATTTAAAGATGATCCCAAAGAAACAAGGAGCTATCTAAATATTCTAATTATGGGGAAAATCAATATAATTTTAGGATTACTCATTGCAGACTTATAGTATCTTGTGCAAAAACTTGAATGGCAGTTGATTACATGGAGTCCAGGGACGTAACCATTATACCATCTGCTGGTCCTTCCAATGCAGTTTTATAACCTAACCTTGTAAGTCCCACAGTGCTACTTCACTTGTTCTCAATGGGTTGAGATAGTTAAAAATCCACCCAGAGGAGAAATAGATCATATTTCTTGATGTTGGAATAGTGAGATTCTAGAAGCACATGACAGATGGAAAATATCGTGACTATCTTTAGAAAATACAGTTTGCCCATACTAGATGGGAGTTAATTTCCTTATCAGAATAGAGCCAGAATGAGTAACAAATTGATGGGGAAAAGTATACTGATGTTAATGTGAATGAAAAGATTAAATTTTATTAAAATGGTAAAGTTAAGAATTGTTGGGTCCAAGATGCCTATATTCAGTATTATGGATTCAGTATTACTTTGCTAGAAGTTGTGAAAGGATAAAAGATTAGGAATTATTGATGACTTCAAGAACGGGTGAGATTAGTAAGGGGTCTAAGAGAAGAAATGTATCTCATTCTGATTTGGATTATAAATGCCCTAAGAGAATATCTGAATTTTTGTTTAAGATAAATGGGGGTTTGTAATGCTGAGCCTTAGCTGGAGTTTGGCATCCCAGGAACCTGGCAGGATAGACTATATCCTTAGTGGACTTTGGTCAATGTAGCTGAGAAGTGATCTTAGAGACATACATATTCCTGTATTATAGTTATCACTGCAAATATTTAACTTGTGCCAAATAGACTAGACAAATGAAAAATGTAAAGGCCAGGATCAGAAGCTGAGGAAGTCAGAGGAGAGAAAGATGGCATGCAAAGACCGAAAGAAATTTTTCAACCTTTTAGGACAGTCTGGAGGGAAGACGATTTTGTAGGTCTTTGGCTGGTTCATACAAACAGACATAAGTATAGCGCTCCAGGCTTTAGGGAGAAGAAATTGATTTTCCTTTTATTCTATTGATAAGGCAGTATCATATGTTCTAGGCACTGTTCTTGACATTGGAGAAATTTATAGTCTCAGTCCTTGTGGTGCTGACATTTGAGTGCAGTACAGACCAATTAAAACTAAATGAATGATAAGTGGTATGGAAAAATATAGTAAGGCAACAGGGTAGGAGATGTTGTGTGTTGGTTTGAGAGGGTCTTTTTCTACAGGGTTATTATGGAAGACCTTATTGAGAAAATGATGTTTGTAGGGATATGAAGGGAATGAGAGTAGGAACTTTATCTCCTTGGAAGAGATCAGAAAAGGCTTTATAGATCAAAAATGTTTCTACAATCCTGAAGAACAGGTGGGAGCATTTTAATAGTGAGAGAGCATTTCATGAATGAGAGAGAACGAAAACCATGAGTAAGTACACATCAGGCACCTGAGAATATTGACTTGAACATGGGAAGGGTGTTAATACAAAGAAATCATAGTAGACTTAAACTGAAATATTCTTTTTCAACAGAGAAGTAACAAACTGAAATCTTTTTCAACAGAGAAGTAACAATCTAGTGGTAAAGAAAATGTAAATGGTTATAAAAACTGGAGTCTTAGAAGGCAGACCACAATTTCCTTGAATGAGATGTTTGATTTCAATTTTATAGGAATTGGGGGCCAGTGAAGATTTTAGAGGAGAGAAAAGTCAAATTTAGAGGAGACAAAAGTCTTACTACATAGTTAGATTAATTGTAGTAGTAAGATTAATTGCAGAGATTTCTTCACTGAGTTATTTAACATTTATTTGGCACTTGCTATGTGCCAGGTACTGACCTAGAAAGAGAGGTTGGAGTAGAGAAAGCACTGATATTGTTGTAATGTGTGGCTTCACTTAGGATTGTGATACTCAAAATGGAAAAGAAAAGACTGATTTGAGCAATGTCTAGGTAAAAAAAGATAGAACAGGGGAGGTGGTTATAGTTGAGTAAATATTCAAGGGAGAGGACAGAAGGGCTTCCCAGATTTTACTGATTCAATAGTAGAACTGGTAAATGAAACACAAATTTCAGAGGAGGACCTGCAAGTTCAGTGTGGGGGCATGGACATTAAATGAATTTAAACTGTCATTCGTTTGGCCCCAGCTAAAAATGTGGAACCAAAGGTGTTCAGGGAGAAGGGAAAATTTCAATTATCCAGCAGAGATGATATTTAAGGCTGTGAAAAATCTATGTTCTTCCTGATTAAAGTCAGCCTGACATGGTTTTAGGTATTTTCTAAATTGTGTTTTTTAAAAAGATTTAATTATTTAATTTAATTTATTTATTTTTATTATTTTTTAATTTGCTAGAGGGCACATGTGCTTATGAGAAAGAGAGAGAGAGAGAGAGAGAGAGAAAGAGTGAAAGTAAGTGAGAAAGCAAGCTGCCAGATCAGAGACTCCAACCATGATCCGTCATGTGGGAGTCCAGTGCCTTAACCAACATGCCTCCTGCTGGCCCTCTGGTTGTGTTTTTAAGGTAGAATTCCATGGAACATATTCATAGGCAGGAGCAATGGCAAGAGAGTGAGGCAAGGAGGTTTCAGAGCCGGAGAGGGCCAAAGGCACTGAAAGGAAGGTTACATTTTGTTTTTCACTGTTCCCCCTCCCTCCTCTGAAGTAAGGCCAGAGGCATTTTGTGGTAAGGAGAGAGGTGTTTAAGAACATTTCATTGAGGAGCGCTGTGCTTGGAATAATGGGAGTGGTGATGTGTGATACTTTGAAGAAAGGAGAAGATGTTTAGAATACTCATTTTAGAAAATGAAAATGAGGGTTGAAGTGAAGAATGGAGGATATGTTCTGTGTGGGTTTGAAGGGGACTGAGAGCATAATTACTGCCTGTCTTTAGCAGCAGGAAGCCTAGGCATGGATGGTGGAAGCCAGGGTTCCATGTGAGGTAGAGGCAAGGCAAAGAGGATTCTGGACTGGCCGTGAGCATATGGTTCTGATTAGAGTCCAGGTTGCAGAGGAGACAGATGAGAATAGTGGGAAAGGATGACAAAAAAAGAGAGGATTAAGTCAAGGTCATGATGACAATGTAAGGTCAGGGAAAGTAAGGAGGCTGTACTCAGGGAAAGGTTTTGCAAATTTAAGGTGTAACAGTGTTGACTGATGATGATTCATGGAGAGTGCAATTGAATGATATTGGAGGTAAGGAAACTAAGAAAGTGCCAAATAATTATATTTAACAACTATTGAAGTCTCTGAAGAGGTTAAGGTACTGAAGTCTCCAGAAGAGAGGATGTTTTAGTCCATTTTTCTGTGACTATAACTGAATGCCGCAGACAAGGTAATTTATAAAGAATCAAGGTGTATTTGGTTCATGTTCTATAGATCTATCTAGTGAGCAACTTTTGTTGGTGGGGATTCTGAGGTGGTATGGAGTATCACAGGGTGAGAGGGCCAGAGTGTGTGTCAGTTCTGATCTCTCTTCTTACAAAGCTCCCCCAGTATTTAATCAGTATTCAGGGGGCCCTACCCTGATGACTTTATCTAATTCTAATCACCTTGCAAAGGTCCCACCTCTTAGCATTATGGTTGGATTAAGTTTCTTCCCTCTTACTATCATGACAACAACAAACACATTTCAACACATGAATTTTAAGGAGGGGACACATTCAAACCAGGGCAATGGATAAGAGCTCAGGAAGTTAGAATGAATGTTACAGATATACTCATGAATGGTAGATGCTATAACCAATAAACTCTGAGATGGTGAGGTTTTACAAAAAGAATTGAGGGACCTAATGACCTTCAAGATCCCAAACAGACAATGTTATGATAAAAGCTTCTAGAAATTACCTTCTTAGACTGGACACAGCTTATATCTTCAGGTGAGAAGCAAATAGTTCACCCAGAATTATATGCCCACTTACATCTTATGTATAAACATATCTCTGAAATGTCATAACTTTTTTATTTATAAGCTAATTAAGAGTTGTTTGAACTCAAGATTAATAAATATAATAATTATTATTATTTTTGGAGAGTTTTTCTTTCTTTCTTTCTTTTTTTTTTTTGCTATTGGTCACATGCG